TCATTTTCGGTGATTTTTGGTGATTTTTCCAAGTCCGCTGGAAAAACAGAATTTTCCCTGCCCTGCATTTTACTGTAGCAGTCTATTGACGGAAAAACTGGGCAAAATCCGTATGGAATCTCATCAAGGTGTCTTCTACAAAGTTTTAGTCCTTTCAATTAGGTTTCCAACGGTATCAACCATGCAAATTTTGGACTTGTAAATATTAAGTTACGATTTTCTAAAGGTTTCTGCCATAAACCTCCAGTTTCCTGATTTTTACAATAAACATGAAAATGACTTGATATTTTTGCTTGGCCTTGAATATGCACGTGAATGATCGTGATTATACATGTCTCAGGTGAATACGAGAACTCCGAAGAACTGGTTTAGTCGCTTCATTTTTTCTCTCTCTCACGACTTTTGGTGAGTATCAAGTGCATGTGAAGTGTTTAAATGAAATGTTACTTGTACTTGCTAGTTAATGAGGCTAGGGTGTACTTTATCGCCCTTGTCTTCTCTTTCATGAAATTGCTTGCTTGATAAGTGATACGTGTTGCATGTGAATGCAAATGAAAGTGTTTTTGTGAGCATTGAGCGGCAGAATGTATCATGCCCTTTTAGGGTAGGAGGTACCGCTCATCCCGTCTCAATGCTATGACCAAATCTTGTCGATTGGAGCTTCGTCTCATCGACCTAAAAGTGAATGGAGGGGGGGACGCCCCAACCCATTGGCTAGCCTTGTAACTCGAGTCGGCAAGGGCTTGGTCGAGGAACTTGGTGAACCTTGGGAAGTGTTATACCTTGATCCAAATAAGGGGTCTTGCTAGGTATACTTGTTAAGTGATACCACCTACATGCTTGTTTGGTTACGGATCCAAGAGGGTGTCATGGTGGCTGGAGGTAGTAAGTGGAGTTCTACATGGATAACTATGAAAGTTGACGGAGGGTCAACTACCTGAGCTTGGATCGCGCGTGGATTAGCTCCTGAGAGCTCCCGTATCCTTTGTTGTGATTAAATTCCCTACTTGCTTAATGTTTCGTAGTACTTGTTACTCAACTTATTGCTTTATATTGTGTCTTTGCTCGCATGTTTGCATGTTTTTCCCTTGGCCTCACTGAGCGTTAGCTCACCCCAATTTGTTTTCCTTAACAGGCTTGGAAGTGGAAGTTCTGAGGCTTAATTAGTGAACCCCAAAAATAATTTTCTTCCCACAGGGCTCGAGACCAAAGGAAGTGCTTGTATTGAGTTATTAGTGTCTGAGGGATATCTCATATATAATTTGAATTCGATTCACTTGATAAGTATTTGGTGTAATATTTGGGACTGATAGTGCAATTGTAATTATTTGAAAACTGAGGACTTTTGTCTTATTCGGGGAATGATACCCTTACTTGAGATTTGTAATGTATCTTATTTCGTTCTAAGTTTGAAAAATGTTATTTCGTTTATTCTTGAGGTTGTACCCTATGTTATTGGAGGTGAGTGATGTATTTTATTTGAAGACTGTAGTGAGTCCCGGCGAGAGCTGGGCAGGCGGTCCGCCGAACCCTTTGGTTCGCCTTAGGGGGAGGTGGGGCTGTCACAGTTGGTATCAGAGCTCTAGATTTCAGATCTCTGTAGTGTATCCTAAGCTCTAAAAGTTGAGGATACCGGACAGTGGGATTCGGGTTAGTTTGAATATTAAGTGAAAAAGTAAAGTAGTGAGTAATTGTGGTTTCGATGGTTATTAAGATTCAATAATTGAGGATTATTGTGCTAGACTAGCAAGAGAGAAAAAGATTGTAAGAGATTAAACACTGTTTAAAGGATAGTAAGTAAATTTCTTGAATAATGGCATTTGCTAGAAGGCGTTCTTGATTTAAGGACTTATGGGGAAATAAATGATTAATTTGTTTGGGATAACCTTTAGTGCTTGATCCTTGCCACTAAATATACTATAGAGTTGATGTATCTTGTTCTTGCCTTGAGAACATGAATGCAATTATGTCTTGGAACTTGGAAGGCCAAGTTAAGTATCTAGTTAAGTATGTGGTGACTCGTGCTTGTTAAAGGATAGATATTACGATGGAATGCGGAACTTTAATTGAAAAGATAGTTGATGTAGCCCTAATGTTCAAAATGAGGTTGGCCTTACCTAAGGGAATTAAGCCCTCTCGCTCAGTTGCAAGCTAGACTATGGAGCACGACCTTTTATACCTTTTGTTTATGATAGTTGGGGTGATGCTTGTGCTTTGGCCTGTATATTTTGTTAAGCATGATATTTGTTCCCTTTTGAAGTATTTGAATGCTATAATTTCTGTACCTGATCATGTTGGCTTGTTAACTTGTTTGTTAGTACACATGCAAAGTTTTATTTTCATTATCGACTCATGCAATGACATGCTCTCATTTTGGCTGATTGTTCTCCCTCTTGTATGACCTTGTTCATAAAAAAAAAAAAAAATTGATTTGTATGTCATCTGATCTATTGACTGTTCCTGTGAAAATATGAAGTGTGCTTTGATTGATTTTCAAGTTTTAAATTCCATTTGTCCTTCATTGGACATACTTAGATTTATATATTTATTTATTTATTCATTTACTAGAGTTATCTGTTAGTTATTTATGTATTTATTTATTTATTTATTACTTTTGGTCCTCCGTAAGAATTAGAAATAAAGGGTAGAAGCGATCGAGACTGTTGGCCAAGGGGCCAGGCAAACCCCAAAGCGTGGAAGATAATTGGAAAATAAAGTTGAGGGTAAGTGAATGATGACAAAGAGATAACTAGTGGAGCGTATATTGAATTATTAGAATTAAAAAAAAAACGAGTAACTGCAAGGAGGTAAACTAGTGGATAAGATAAGATGTTATTAAGAAGTATCAATTAGTGCGAATGTGACAAATAACACCATACCCACCGCTCTTTCCATGCAAGACTTCAATTGATCTTCATTCTATCGTTTCATTTTGATTTTTATAAGAAACAATTTAGAGAAAAGTTTTGCTTCAATTTGTCTTCATTCTTACCTCCATCTTTCAAGAAAGTCACCAAAACAAATTCCCCCTCTTCTTCTCTTAATTGAATTCTATGCTATCACACTTCGAAATTTATGGATAAAATCTTCTCATAACTACAGTAAGAATAGGACCCTTCTCGAGTTAAAGAATTTTTTTTCGATGCCAGCCCAATTTTTATTAAAACCAAAGAAGAGAACAAGCTTGAGGAGGGCTTCGCCTGTCATCATTAAAGGAAACTAATTCAAATTAAATGAGGAGCACTACTTCCTTACATTATGAGCCCTAATAGAAGAGATTTGCATATTATCTAGAAGCAAAGTTGCTTTTGCAGCTGGCCGTAGCTCAGAAACTGAATGGAAAACCATATCTAAAGGTAAATCCAGCACTGCAAGCTTGTCAGCAGTGGAGTTTGCCTCGTGAAAAATATGTGCAATAGTTGCCTTGGCTAAAAAAAGAGATCTCCTCACCCGACAAAGGACATTACATAATGGCCACGACGCCAGTGAGTCAGACTTTATCAACTGAACCAAAACCTGCGAATCAACTTCCACCTAAAAAGAATCCAAATTCCTCCCAAGACATAGCTAGAGTCCATGAAGCAAAGATAAGCATTCAGCCATAAGCACACCTTCCTCCCAGAACTCTTTGTAGAAGGCAAAGATATATTTGCCTTCATGGTCACAAAGAATCCCGCCACCAAAAGCTCGTCCATTGTGCACACTTGCATCCATGTTTAGTTTAAACTGAAGGAAGACCGGCTTGCTCCAAGTGATAAGACACCACTGCCAAATAAAAGGTTGACAAACCACCATGTTAGCCCATACACAATCCAAATCTCCTGTAAAATGTGAGTTCATAAAGGTTTTCGTAGAACCTAGTTGCTTCAAAAAAAGTGTTAACCAAAAAGATCACTCTCTGTGCACTGTACTCCTCACTTTTAAAATGTGCATTATTCCTAGTCTTCCATAAGAACCAAAACACGGCCGCCAGTATAACAACTCGAAAATGATCCAGGGATCGAAAAGAAATTGACAACAACCAAGAGCTAAATATCTCAAATATAGAAGAGCACATGAGTTGCGCCATTCCAAACTACCTTGCAAAATGATACCATACCTGAAGGGCCACAGGTCCATCCAAAAATAAATGGTGCAGTGTCTCTTTATCCACTAAACAGCAGGAACACTAAGAAACCATTACCAGACCCTTGCACTGTAGAGTCGCGTCTACAGGAAGGAAATTTCTCCGCAGATGCCAAACAAAAAAAGAAAGATTAAGGGGTAAAATAGAGGACCAAGAGGCCTTATCTACCCATGAAATACTCCTCTTTTGATTGAGTCCATCCAAGCAGATTTAACCATGGTTCAAAGTCACGGTCGCAGTCGCGGTCGCGGCCTAGAACGTTCCACATCGGTCTCGGCATATCGGTCATGGTCTCGGTGAGACGCAAATTTTAAAGCATTTAATATTCTAAAAACTGTTAATAATATAAAAAAAGTATGCTAAACAAAAATAATAAAAAATAACAAAAGAAAATTTGTAAAATGTACTATTTTTATACATATTACACACGATAAGTACTTTTAATTATTTAAAACAATGGCATCACAAATAAAATCAAAATAACATAAACCACAATTTTAAAACTAATAATTGCAAAAGTAATATCAACCATTAACAATACAAACTAAAGATTTATTTATAGCATAAAGTTGGAATATTTTGATCAATCTCTTGCCAAAAATAAAAAGAAATCATATTAGATAAAAGGTAAATATGTAAAAAGATATACTAGTACTTTATATTTTCGTACATGTTAATACCAAGTAGAATGACGATGTGGTTCAAAATCATCCTCATTTGTCGATGAATGGTAAAACAGATGTGGAAGTGGCATAGGACCTTGAGTAGGTAGTGTAAACGAGTTATCTGGTGTATTTACTGGATGTGAGGATTGACTAGATGTTCCATAATCATTGGACGGAAGAACTTCTGGATTGGAGATGATTTGTTGCTGCTAGTATCCAAACCCTCGATAGTTAACACTATCGCTGGTACCATATGATGCAGTAGAATCATGACCATAAAATCCAATGTTATTGGAATCAAAAGAAGAACCATCATGAGACTTATCTATTTCTTTTTCATAGTATCCACTACCATGAATGCTAGTAGACCTTTCAACCTGTCTAGGTCTGTCAAATGGTCGATATCCACTGTAATAGTCAGGAGTGATTCCATATGATTGGTCATAGCCATATCCCAATTGACTAGTACTACGGTTTTGACTAGATTCATGCTCATAAGTTGGGTATATAGCCAAATTTTGCATTTGATCATTGACTCCTCTATATCTTTGTGACCCTGAATGGTGAGAGAAAGTATCATCACTTGAAAATTGAGTTAAATCATTGAGGAATTGACGTTGTGCTTCTATACCAGGACGATAGCCATGATCAGTATCTTGAGTGGCATAATAATTATCTTGTCCTTGAGCCCATGACATACCTCCTGCTTGTTGGCTATCTTGATTGTAACCACTATGCCTGAAAGAATTGTTCCCTCCATCTCCATTGTCACCATTGTCATCATCATCATTACTGCTGTCACTTTTATTTGAAGATGACGGAACAGTCTGCTTACTGGTTTGTTTAGTCTTACTTTTTTGTTTCCTACTTGAGGATGCAGCAAGACCTTTCTTATTTCTTTTGGTAATATATTGGGACAATGTATCACCAAAACCATCGTTGTCATGTTCTTGATATTCACTACTTTCTGATTCAGTTTGATGAATGGCAATGTGGGTTGTTCATTTTCTCTTATCCAATCATCCAATATATCATCTTGGTGAAAAATGTGATTCAAGTCAATTGGGTTGTAGAAATCATCAGTATCTCTTTGATGCATCAAATTTTTCACCTTCAATCGCATATTGTAATGCACAAAAACTAATTTATGCAATTTTTTAACTGTCAAACGGTTGCGTAGTTTTGTATGAATTAATGTCGCTCACAACCAGAGGATGTGCAGGTTTGACTCAATATTTTCACTGCAATATTCCTTAAATTTGGCGCATCTTCACCGTAGTTAAGCCACCATTCAGCTAAACAAACAAAGTAATAATAACATTCATTTATTATTATTATAAAAATATTATAAAAATATTAACTTCATTTATATGATTTAGATGTTTATGTAAGTATGAATTAAGTTGAAACCGGGTAAAGATTTTGGTAATGCTCTTGCTACAATAGCACTTCCAAAGCCTCCCTTTTTGTCTGCAAAAATTTTGATCTACAAAAATAATGTATACACAAGTGTTAAAATTTTAAAATTTGTTGATTAGTATAAATAAATAAAATAATCAAAAGAATACCTCATTTATTGAATCAACTTGTGCATCTAAATTTGGCTCCAACTTTGCAATGACGTTCTTTAACCCTCTTCGAACTTCATCCAGATTAAACTCACAAGTTCCAGAATATTGAAGGATCGGGTTCAAAAAATATGCTAAATACAATAAAATAACAAAATTAGAAAATAAATAAATACATATATATATATATTACATATTTAAATTGGATGTAATATTTTAAATTACCTGCCGCATGTAAATCCCGATGAAGTTGATTGTACCATCTATTATCAATCACTTCCCAAATTGTTTTCCAAGATTTCACCGACTTTTGAATAGCCATTTTTGCTCTATCCATTGCCTCATAAATAATTGGCAATGTTGGCTTATTATCTTGATCAATAGTTTTTAAAACTTTGACCAGAGGCTCCATTATTGCACACACATTTCTAACTTTTTTCCAAAACTTCTCTGACAATATCAACTCAGCTACTTTAATAGCTTCTGTTTTTCTCTTGGTAATGTTATTAAACTCTGCCCATTCATCTGAGGTGCACATTCTTTTCAGTTCTGTACAATTCCGAAGAAGACTTTCCATAGAAATGAATTCAGTTGCAAATCTAGTGATACCTGGACGTAGCAGTTCCCTTTTTTTTGTATATGTCTTCATCAGATTCACTACTTTGTCACTGTTATATATGAAACTTGTTATCTTCTTCCCCTGAGCAATAGTTTCTTTTACATTATCCATTTTGCCAATATCCTCCAACATCAAATCTATACAATGCGCAGCGCAAGGTGACCAGAAAAGATTTTTCCTTTTTTTCATCAACAGTTGTCCAGCTGCTTTCATACTAGGTTCACTATCTGTCACAACTTGCACAACATTTTTTTCTCCCACAACCTCTACTACCTCATCCATTAACTTGAAAATATATTCAGCAGTTTTCTTGATATTGGTACAATCAACTGAACTATGGTATATCATGTGCCTATCACAGTATACCATAAAATTTATTATTGGATGTTTTGTATGAGTGCTCCACCCATCACACATAAGTGTACAACCAAAAGTTGAAAATTTATCATAAATATCTCCAAGATATTTCTCAAGCTCTTCAAATTCTTCATCTAAATATTTATTTCCAATTTGATAAGCTGAAGAGCCTTTAATACCAGAACCAGCTTTGGCAATTTCATCAATCATCGATTGATAATAAGGATTGTCAGCTGCATGAAATGGTATAGCATTGAAATGAAAAAACTTTTAAACTGCCTTACCAACTCTTTTTATATTTTCCTTCGCAAACATTGATTTGACTGATTTTTGTTTCGAAGGAAACATATGTGAGTCAATTCCTCTGCTTGTCATTTCATCTGCTTGTCTGACACTGAAATTACGTGACAATCCTCTTTTATTTTCAGAAGTCGTTGGGTTTGAAGTGCCAACACCCATATTTCCTAAAATTCACAATATTTAACAAATAAAAAATGAATGACTAAATTGCAACTTTATGTAATTATATTTAATAAAATAGTATCAAATTTGTTATAATATTTTAGTTTACAAATCATACCTGACATAAACATAGAAGGTCGACTCCCAGATACTGAATGCCTTCATTGTTCGTCTAAAAATTGCAAGTATTGGCTCTCTCTAATTGCTTGCTTCATTTGTTTTTTTTCCAACACCATCCGACTTTCTTCATCAATTTCAAAAAAGACTTCGTCTTCCTCGTCGCCAACCATGTTGAAATTACCATACATACTTTCTTATTAGAAAGAATTCAATATTTCTTCTTTTTTCTGTTTTATTGTAGCCCTTTGAATCTTACCAACCTTTAGATGCATTTTCATTAAATCTCTAACTTCACTTGAGGCCCTTGGACAAGGTTCAACTTGTCCTATGACATGACCGACATGTTCTTTCAACCTTGTAATGCCACCATGCATTATTTTTCCATAATAATTGCATCTCACAATTTTTCTATTCCCTCCCACGGGTTTACCATGTTCCCAACCAATATCCATGCTCGTCATTGTAACTATTACACATATCAATATAAATGGTTAATACATCACAAAATAATTAAAGATATATGGAAAAAAATACAACAAGCTGTTTCTGACATTTTATAATTATAATAATTTATTTCTATTATATTAGTAAGTTAAACATCTAATCTATAATGTAAACCTGCAACAATGATCATTTTTTCATTTATTATAAGAACTTCGGCATTTTGTTTGTTGATGGGTGATTAACTTAAACATATAATTTAGCTCTCCATCTTCCTATAGTTTTTAGTTCATGATCATGATCACCAGGATGATTATGTATTATAATAAGTTGGAAGATAATACTAAATGTCCCTCTCTATTAGCACAAAAATATACACGTACAGTGGAAGCAATTCTCATATATCTCTAATTTCTTTGTTAACCATCGTCATATATATATATATATATATATATATATATATATATCTAGACATGATTTTTCACTCACTTTGCAACCTAGTCGTCCAAGAATTACAAAAGTTTTTGTTTTATACATAAGGATTACTAAATTTATAGAGGAAAAATTATTGCCAACTAAAAATCACTCGCCCATGCAAACAAAGTCAGACCACAACCAGACAGACTTCCTGAAAAGCAATTCCACCAAAACACAAGAAAGTAGTCCTATTGCATCAGCTAGTGCCATACGAAGGAATCACATTCTAAAATTTAAGTAGAGCCAATGCAACGGCTCTATTCTGTTACACTTTCAATCAATGCTTGAAATTGTCTGCCGACCCACTAAAGAAAATCTCTACACTTCTGCAATGTAACTTATCCATTGTGCCATAGTTTGTAATGGCAAAAAAAAAAAAGATAATGACCTGATTAAGAGTTATATGTGGAACTTCTGCGATTTTATTGATTCTTTTTTCTTGTTTGCAAATTTGGACTTGTTGGCATTAAAATTTTAGAAACTTGACCAAAAAAGATGTTAAAGTTAACAAATTGCAGCAGATCTGATGAACAAAAGATATAGGATAATGAACACAACCAACAATAAAGACAAATGTCATATACATTCGTGAACATGTACCTTTCGGAGTGGAATTAACACAAAAAGATCAATGAAACTAATTGCACAGAGATAACTGGTCATCCAACCAATCCCAAGTTCCTTGTAGCTGCCCGGAGGATTTCCCGCAGTGCTTACTTCTGCCTACTCATATGTTTTCTTATTTAGAGCTAACAAATAAGAACCAAGTCCGCCTGAAAGTTCGAAAACAAAGCAAAAGGGCTTAGGGAATCAAACAATACTAAGAAAAGAAAAGTAAAGTAAAGGTAGTATGTTTAACGTGGCAAATTCAAGGTAGTACCTTCAAAGTAAAGTGAAGGTAGTACCTTCAAGGTGGAAAAGAAAACGCATCTTTTCACGTGATAGTACTGTGGCAAATTTGTTTCTATTTTCCAATGAATGATTTCAACCTTTGACTTCTCCTTCTCATGTGTTAGGATCTAGCTGTAGTTTTTACTCCAAGGGTCAATGTAATTGAGCTGCGGTCCTAGTGCTTCTCCCAATTATGTCCGGTGTTTCAGATGAGCTTGTCCCAATTATGTCTGGAAATAGAATAGGGAACCACTATGATTAATCTAAAGAAGGCCCCATGAAGTCTTTTATAACTTGTCCATCACTCACATTTCTTTCCCCGTATGAAGGATCATCAGTACTAGCCATGGTTCGATATAGGCAGTAGAGAGGTCCTCGAATTTCCCTTTTTCAATCCTTTTTTTCCTTTTTTTCTAAAGATTTTTTGTTAAATTCACCTTGACTCGGGGTGACTCGGCCGTGACAATCCGTCGTGGTGACGTCTCGGCCGATTTCTCGGCGAGACGAGTATCTCGGTCTCGATTCATCGCGGTATTGTCTCGGCCTAGGCCGAGACGGTTACGACTCGGCCGAGATGTCTCGGTCTCGGCCGAGTCTTCGAACCATGGATTTAACCGAGAACGAACCTGATGCCGATGGTACCTACACCATACAGTCTTAAGCCGAAGGGTCCAAAACTATGTTGACTACTTTATCCACCAAATTGCTAGGAAGAAACTGCCGTAAGCGAGTAGTAAAACTCTGCCAACAAAGTATGAGGAGGATCGGCTAGCCCCAGGAATTTTGCCAATGGAACATCTATCTGTGACAGCTCCACCTTCCCCTAAGGCGAACCAAAGAGGTTAGCGGACTGCCTGCCCAGCTCTCGCCAGGACTAACGGTGCAGTATAAAGCGATCTATCACGTTTGAAACTTGTAACGCGCGCAATTAGGCAAAAGGGCAAAATATCCCAAAATAAAAGAAACGAACTCCAGAGTCGGCCATGAATAGTAACCGACCCGTCCGAAACCCAACCAAGCATCGAAAAACATATACAACATAACATTAGCCATTTACAAGCCACAACGGCAAGCCAAAACCATTCACTAAGGAAGTGCACATTCGATTTGCCTATCAAAAGGAAATGAACCCGTTATACATTAGGGTTTCACTTCAAGAGCAATACAAAAGACATTTACATGCTCAATTCGGCAATTGACTATCCAACCCATTCTCAAAAGTAATTATCACCCTGTAAGGAAAACAAATAACACGGAATGAGCTAAAGCCCAGTGGTATACCACCCAATAAGCAATCAAAGTCATATAAGAATGAACTTTCATTTAAAGTGCACAAATGAGCAATGAAGCAAAACGGTAAAAGGATACGGTCGGCTCTCAAGAGCCCATTTCCACGCTTGCAATCTTGATCCAACCTCATTGACTCTCCGTCAATGTTAAAAGTACCAAACCGTAGACCACCCTTTACTTCCAATCCTTCCACCTAACATACCCCAACCGGGCCCGCACTCCATTTCAGTAGCTTTTGGTAATACTCGAGTTTACCGGAACCAAGGGTCTCATTACCACAAGGTTCCCCAGTACAGTCCCCGTGGCATGATAATTTTCACGACCAAGCCCTCGCTGGCTCGATCCAATTAACTACCATACGGGGTTGAGCTCATAAATGCAGTAAAGCCATTGGATACTCGTCCAACGACATCAAATCAGTTTCCATGAATGGAATGTAGTATCTCATATATCCAGTGCAGTATTTCAGTAAAACAGTCAATAGCCATGAATAAAATCACAAGGGGTGAGGGCGATCAAGTACACCCTCACCTCAATCATTTCCAATAACCAAGTAAGCCTTCAAGGCATCAAATACACATAGCACAAAGCCACATTATAACAAGTAAGTGAGTAGTATACTCACCAAGTAAGAAAATGGTGTTTCATACACCACGGTCACCAAGACGTCGTGAGCTACCGTCACGCCCTAGAATCACGCAACAAATGCAATGAGACTCGATAACGAGTCATATAGCAATGCTAAACACAACCCCAATAGGGTTTCATATGCATAAATGAGCATAATAGTAAACCAGAAATTAGAAAATGGCCTTAGCCTTGGCCCCAAATAGAAAACTGTTTTGCCCTTATTATGCGGTAATGGTGTAAAATTCTCTACGGTTATCGGATGGGGGTGTAAGACCCACCGTTTCGAAGCTATGAAACAGGGCTACAACAATGTAGAAGGTCACTCAATCCAGTTCCTAGCTTAACTAGGTCGAAAATGCCAAATACTAACCCAGAATTCCTAAAACAGGTTCGTAAAACACAAAAAACTGTAATCGGTATATCTCAGTCCATACAAGTCCAAATGCCGAAATTCCAAAGGCATAAGTTAGCTAAGTCATCCAACTACATTTCATCAGAAGACACCAACTTCAAAATCCAAACCAATTCCAGTCAAAATGTCCAATTACTATCGCAGTTTTCGCATTCTGATCAAAGCAGAACAGCTACAGTAAAAACGCCATAACTCACTCTACACTCATCTAAATGACCTGAAATTTTACAGGCACCTCAAACACATCAATACCTACAACTTTCATGTTTTGAGCAAAGTCTAATTCGGCCTCTAACCCAGTGATCTAAAACCGGACAGAATTGGGGTTCAAGAACCCTAACTTTTCAAATTTCACACCAAATCCAAAATTGATTGTATTTAACCACATTTCACATCCACTAGAGCCATTTTAGTCCATTGCAAATCATCATACAAGCCCCCAACATCAAGATCATATTAAACCAGAAAAAATCCCAATAAAATAAAAACTTCACCAAAACAATTCAAACCAAGATAAAAACCAGAAATTTTAGCACTCTTATCACTAATAAGCACAACATAAGCATCATTAGGTGTAGTAGGGTGTTTCAAGCTTCACTTACCAAGAACCAAGAGAGAAGAAGATGTTGGGCACCTTAATCCTTCAAACAAAGTTCACCAAACAACTTACTAGCTCTAGAAGGAAGAATTTTATGGAGTGAAATGGATGGAAGCAAATGTTTTTGGTTGATTTGCACCAAGTAGAAGCTTGAAAATTGAAGAAATCTCCTTCCTTTCTTGCTCAAGGTGGCCGGCCAACAAGGAGAGAAAAATGGTGAATTTTGTGCAATTTTTGGATATTTAACCTTTGGTCAAAAAAGTCAAAATTGTGAATAGTAATTCTTAAAAGGCATCCAATAAGAAGGTGACACTTGTCACCTTCATAAATGCATTCTTATCTTTCTTTCCTCTCTCACATCAATCACTTCACACACCCTACTTATCTCTTAACACCCGATAAATTTTACACAGTATCGGAATTTAACCTAATTGGCCGAATTTTTTCCGAACTTTTCGCACTAGTGGGTCCCACGTCCACTATTTACTCTTAACTTCCTAAAATTTCTCCAATGCTAGAAAAATCATCTTAAAACTATAATTGCTCATAAAATTCACCAGGAAATTATTTCTAAGCCAGAAAATGCAGAAAACATGCAATTAAGGGGACATAAACCCTAGGAAAAATATTAGGGTTTTACGGGTTCTCACACTATCAGCCACCTATCCCACTAAAAATCTACAAATCCCCTACCAATATACCATTGAATCTGTACTTCCCCG